AAATTTTAAATAAACTTGCAAGAAGAAAGAAATATGCCAGAAATATACCAAATTCCCATGAGTGTATCTGGTAGCCTTTGGCAACAGTGTATTTCATGAAATCGCGGGCATTGCTGGAATCCCAATTTCCTCCCCATGCATGCCTATTGATCCGTCGTCTCCCATACAACGCATTCAAACCAAAAGTCACAAGTGCTCTGCAGCAAAAGCAGTTGAACTTATATGAACTTCAAGGGAGAACTCTTAGAATCATGGTAAGTTTTTTGACAGTCCAAGAGTTATTTTTACTTTTAGTTTTTTGTATAGTCATAGTCTGCTGTATTTGAGGAAATGCAAATTCAACACCACTCTTCAAAGAATGGCAGTGTATTCCTACATCTTTAGGTTTCTTGAATAGTCATGGATGCACATTCAGGATTAAGAAGTAGTAACATCAAAGTCAAAGATACTAATTCAGGACGCGTCTCTGCATGGACATATAACAAACTACCTATATCTTAATTCACCTTGTATCCGTTCATCAATTAGAATATAGTCATTCATAAAGATGAAAGTGGTCAAATTTGGGAATTAACCAAATTGGAGACGCGTGTTTCCTCAATAGCATCCGTAGATTGGAAAAAGTTAAAGAAGAATAAGAATAGTATTGAGCCAGAACGTGCAGCCTAGGAGCAGATCAGATTATTAGCCAGGACATGGTTAGACACTTATATTGTTGAATGCAATAGGAGAAGATGTACAGAATTAGACAATCTTACCCTGTCTTCTTGAAAAGGTTGTTTAACTCATCCCATCTATGCATATGTAAGCATCCCTTGGAGAATCCAAACAACCCATCCTTCTGCTTGGTGAAGGGATGGCAAGAAGATTTCAAGTTGCCTACATCATATATTACTTGGTCCTGTAAAGAACCTCCAAGTCGTAATCTCAAACCCTTGAAAGCTGTATCACCAATAAATATAAATCAGAGAAGAGTAGAAATCTAAAAGACGAGAAAGAAATCTAGTTTGCTTATGCACTTCAGATTTTAAGGTGAAATGACAGCATGTTTGAGTCTCATTTGCTAACTATGGTAATAACATAAACAACTCAGAAATAGGTTAAAGTTATAGCATAATGGCTTGTGCAAACCTCGTATAGCATTTTCCAGAAAAGGGTGAGATAAATCCTGACAAATCAAAACACATTTAGTAATACTGACCACTCATTTCTTAATCAGAAACTCAATAAGATATATACATTTTTAATATTGGAGAACAACTTATCCCTTCAATAACAGGCTACCAGGATTTTACCAGATTTATAATAGATGCCAAGTCCCAAGGACATTGCTTATAATTGCACTTCTCTTTAGGCCACCAATCAATGGTAGCACAAATATAATTATCATCTGTCCAGGCAATTCTTACAGATGTATCAATCATAAGTTCAGTATCTTCAACTGTTTGCGCTGAAAATGCAGGACACAGCGCCAGAAAGATTAACAACAAGGTTCGGAAGTCCATTAGATGATTAAGCACGACGACTTCACTGTTGTTTGAACCGAGTCATATACTGGCAAGAGGAATCAAACAAATAAATGTTAAAGAGGCTTTTAAAGAGCAACTTATTGTAACTAAAAATGACAAAGGTACAACATATTCATTGGACAACATCATACAATAAGTTAGCAACTCTGTCCTTGAGCAGCTTTATAAAGTAGTTTAATTTTGTCAATCCAAAACTCCTAGGTATTTCCAGGAAGCTTGGATAAAAAAAGTATAAACAAACTTAGATATTCCAGTAACCTTCTGGAAATTATGAAATGAATTTCTTATTTCTTGGATAAATGAAGTATGGTAAAGTCTAGGACTAGGAGGTCACGGGTTTCTTGGATGAAAGGGTGCCTTGGCGTAATTGGTAAAGTTGCTGCCATGTGACAGGAGGTCACGGGTTTGAGCCGTGGAAACAACCTCTTGCATAAATGTAGGGTAAGACTGCGTACAATAGACTCTTGTCGTCTGGCTCTTCCCCGAACCCCGCGTATAGTTGGAGCTTAGTGCACCGGGCTGCCCTTTTAACAGTATAAAGAAAAAAATGACTAGAAAATAAAGAGGCGAACCAAATTGCTTTTCTTGCTCAGATGTAAAAGAACCTAGAATGCTAGGGTCAATCAAAGTATAGCCAGATCATGAAACTAATCTATAAGGACAACAATCATAAAGACAGAGAAGCAAATTTCAATTTTGAAGTTAATTTAGACATTGCAGAACCTATTAAAGACTTTTACTTTTTAGTTTCAGAAAAGTCTTGGCAAATTTTTTCTTCACGTCTAAGACAATTACCAGGCTACCAGCAGTACAAGTAAAGTCACTATGTCAGCCACATCAATACAAATATACAATACGCAAATTAACCAATTACACTCAGAAAGCAAGATCCAAATACTACAAGAACAGTCCTTTGAAACAATACACTGCAATATTAAAAACAAAAAGAATAAAGAACCAAACTCACCTCACCTCACAAAATCCAGCATAACGAAACTCACGGAGCGCAAATTCCGAGAAAAAACAAACCGACAATCAGCAGACAGTGTACTAAAACACACAGGTGAATGACAAGAATAGCGAGTGAAATGAAATGGGTTGGTCTCAGATTTCTCAGTTATTAGCTAAAAACTGAAACTTTTTTAGGTGAAGTGTCAGAATCAACTAACAGTCATTCATTCATTCATTCATTCATTTGTTTCACGGAGTTTTTGGTACATATGTACAGAACAGTGGCTCGTGTCAAATGCAGACAATAATAAGAGGAAAGATAAAATATGATGAGGTGGCTAAGACCATACTCCAATTATTTTTGTTGGATTCCAACTTGTCTTCACCTTAAAGTCATCCCTTACACCTTATACTTAGCTAATATTGTGCCAAAAGAAGAAAATTAAATATTTGTTGGTTTGACAAGGAATGACTCTTTTTATGTATTTTTTTATATTTGAGTAAGATTTGCTTCGGTCAACAGCAGCCGTCAGATCTATTTTCATTTAAAAGTAGTTTTTTTGATTTTTCATCCGGTGTTCGGTACCCGCATTGAAGCCCGATTATATTCGGATTCACGTTGCGCAAGGATTTTTTCGTATCTTGAAGGTTTTTAAAAGTAGTTCAAGCAATCATGATTTCTTGCACTAGTTGCATGCTGAAGAATATAAAGAGAAAAATATTATTTACAAACCTATTCACCATCTTCAACATTCCAACTTGCAAATAAAATTATAAACTATACTATTTCTTATTGTCGTAGTAGCGATAACATTTGTTTTGTAGTTTATAAAATTATGGTATATAATCTCTGATGATTTGGCTGCCAAAACATCAAATTAACTTGAAAGGGAGCCTCCGAGTAATAATAAAATTGTCTGTATGATTTATAAGTCATTAATTCGAGTCGTGAAAACAACTATTAGTGTTTGCATTAGAATAAGTTGTCTACGTCACATCCCTTGGGTCAGTGACGGACCTTATAGAAATGGGTGTCAAATCGCTGGAAAAATATTTTGACGCGAAAATTCTTGCTTCGCCATTGCTTGGGGCGCCGCCCTTCCCAAATCCTATGTGAACGCCACATGCTTTGTGCACCAAAACCACTTCTGCATATTTTGAAGTTAAAATAGTGAAGTATAGATTGGTGTTGAAATAAGATGAAAGAAGAATTTATAGGATAGAATTGGCAGCTGAGGAAAGTTAAATAGAAGAAAAATACCTTGCAGAATATAGCTGTTGTTCACTGATGAGGCAGCACAGTGTTAAACGATAAGTATTAGGAAGAAGAGTCTTTTTCTTTTTCTATATAATTGTATTATGTATATTTTTACTACTTTATTCTTTTTTACTTGTCATTTTAGTCAATAACAATTTAGTCCAAAATATTTGTCGCTTTAGAAAAATCAAGAAGCATTAATTGGTTCTTTCAATTTCAATTTTACTACACTAATAAGGCCTTTAGTTATAATTAATTACACATTTACTTATTTAAGAAAGATATAATGGTAAATTTAGTTAAATAATTAAGGCTATCAAATAATTTTCTTAATGATTATCCTTATATGATACATACAAAAAACTGAAACGAGTTATAAGATTTTAAGCATGGGGTATTGATTATATGTGAGTTGTATTTCAAAAACTTTGTCGTAATAGTTTTGGATCCTACCTATGGGAAAGGGAAGAATATTTAATCATTCATTTAATTAGATCACAAAATACTTTTGTATCTGCAGACTGCACATGGCCAAACACCGGAAAGCTTTCACATTTAATTTTCATATTCACCAACAAACAACGACAACAACGACCCAGTATAATCCCACAAGTGGGGTCTGGGGAGGGTTGTATGTACGCAGACCTTACCCCTACTCCAAAAGGTAGAGAGGCTGTTTCCAGGAGACCCTCGGCTCAAAAGAAGCAATAGGAGATGATACATTAGTTATGTAAAAATGCGTAATAAAACAGCAACAATATATAAGAGATATGAAATATGAAATACAGGATACGACAACGAAAATACGAAATAGATGGCTGGTATAGTACAACTAGAAGGTAAAGTCCTGCATCAATAGACGCCTAATGACATTCCTAGTCTAACTCCTAACTGGATAGTCTCCCTCTATTGTGCTGTAGAAATATTCACACTCTCCCCTAACCTACAACCCTAATGCTCGACCTCCATAAATCCCTATCAAGGGCCATGTCCTCAGTAATCCTAAGTCGTGCCATGTCATGTCTGATCACCTCTCCCCAATACTTCTTAGGTCTCCCTCTACCTCTCCGCGTGCCCACTACAGCCAGTCGCTCACACCTCCTCACCGGTGCATCAGTGCTCCTCCTCTGTATGTGCCCGAACCATCTGAGTCTCACTTCCCGCATCTTGTCCTCCATGGGGGCCACACCCACCTTCTCTCGAATATCTTCATTCCTAATCTTATCCATCCTTGTATGCCCGCACATCCACCTCANGTTTCTTTTCGTCAAGACTCTTCCTTTATTACTCAAATTTCAGTCCCATTTATCGAATTTGGATACCCATTTTCCTCAAAATCATATTTCGATCGATGTTCTGCATCCTTTTTCTATTTTTTAAAATTTAAACATATTTAGAGCTTGTATTTCTTAATAAGATTAGGAAAGGCGTTATTTTTTGTTCAGAAGGATCGCGTTATTTATTTGTTGTGAGAAAAGTTGTTACTTTTTATGTTTTCCTGCTACTATTGCAAATTAGTGATTAATGTAAAGGTATTTTATTTTGGGGTTGGGAATCTATTGTTGTTTAATGGAGAGCAGTGAAGGAGGGGATGATCAAGAAGGCTCTGGTTGGATGCAAGTTAAAAAGGTCTGAACTTTTCACACCTCCATCTCTCAATATTAATTAATTCAGCTTTTAAATCATTTAATGTTATGTTTAAGCTGAAAGATGATGAATGAAAATGGGTTTACTATTTGAATGCAAATCATTAATAACCATGTTTGAGTTGTGTCATTGGCCTAATGTCAAGAGTGTACCTCCTGATAATCTGCTGTTTTAGGTATTCTTTTAGTAGAAAAGTATCAAAGGATTGAACTTTTCCTGAATTCATGTAGATGAATTAGTTGAATTTTAGTTATTTGAGGAAGAACTAATCATTTTCAGTATGTTTCTGAAAAATGGATTGGTGGACTACACTAGAATTGGGCATATTCAACGGCATTTAGTGAAGAGATGGTGATTTAATTGGGCTAGGTTTATATTTTCTTTCTTGTTATTGGTACCAAAGAAAAGCCCTATAGAGAAATGAAAGGCAGCTGAATAGGTTCTCTTTATTGTATTGCTGAAGCTGAAACGGAAATTTATTGAATGAAATACTCTTACATTTGAATTTTTCTATTGCGTGCTTCATCTATAATCTTCCACTTTCTCTTTCTGATAATTCCATTTGTACGTTTAGCGACCATAGTGGTGTGTACATGCTTCTTAAGTACTGGATTTATCTCATCGCAAAAACTGAGATGTCCCTCTATCCCTTCACCTCTTTTCACTGCATGGGGTGGATTCCTCTGTTCAGGGGTGAAAGGCAGATAATGGAAGATCAGGGGCATCTAAGATTCACGATATTAAGTGTTTATTGCTGAATTGTTATTCAAAAAAACATTGTTTAAAAGAACACGAAATGCGATGGACGGCGTCTTGCTTTATCATCCTTATGCCTTATAGCTTACTAAAGTATAAGAAAATTACTCCTTCACTGCAGCTTAAGTGGTTTGAATGGAGTAGAATGTGTGGCTAATAGCGATACATGTTTGCGAAATATGCAAAGAGAAGAACAAAGGAAACAGTAATAAGAGAGCAAAACATGTAAGTACAGTTCTGGCAATTCTGCGTTTAGGAGATTCACCAATAAATCAATCTTTCCTGGGATTTGAATTTTGAATGCCTTATTTCTTGTATGCTCTGTTTCTTGTCATTAGCAGATGCTATATGTATCAAGATTAAACTGCACTTTTCTCATCAACAATAATGTAGAGTGCCTCGCGTTTTTCCCAAATAAAATCTGTGTATTTGTTATTCAATGTGTGGACTTCTTGTGCAGAAGCACAGACACAGTTCAAAGTTTTCACTACATGGTTGGGTTGGAGGATCATCTCAAGGAACTGCTTCTTGCAATCCAGAAAATCGGCCTTCATTGAGTGTAAAAAGTGAAAATCTTAAATCTGTCGTTCAGCATTCAAAAGGAAGTGGACGCTGTATTAGACATGATGATGTTACTTCAATTCCGAAGGAAGATGCAGTGATTGTGCACGATAAATGTGTGGTCAGTCACAGTAGTAATTCTGTTAGTTTAGGTTTCCCAACAGATTCCAATCAAGGAGTCAGTCAGGAACATCCTCAAATAATTAACCATGACATCATACCAAAAATCAAGTGGGGTGACATGGATGATCGAGCTCTAACATCACATTTTGGAACTACTGTCCAAGCAGAAATTAAGTTCGGTGACATTCAAAATCATGATCTGCTTAGTACAAAAGCTGATCAAACAAGTGATCCGTTTGTACACATTTCTCCAACTGATGTAGAGAAAAATAGATTGGTTACTGAGGAAAGCCATCAAGTTGTCAGCTCGAATCCTTTGTCTCCCAAGATTGAAGCTGTTGAAAAAAATTGTGTGAAGTTGAAGGATTTATCTTCAGAAGATGTTAATGCTTCTGCTGCTTCTCCTCTTTCTGGAGGGCAATGTGGACATACCCAGCTTGAAAAAGGTGACACTTGCAACAGTCCTGGCGAAAAGCTTAAAATTGCTGCCAGAGAAGGGCCTAGTGGGGTAACTGTGCACAGTGTCGAATCTGAAGAAGCTTGCACCGAAATCTCTGAAGTGCCTAGTGTTGATCAGAATATAAAAACAGTGGTCGCTTCACAGGATTCTGAGCCAGTGCCACCTGATAAAGGAGGATCGAGAAACATTGGGCAGCCTTACCTGGCATCTCCTAGTGAAGAGTTTAGGAACAAACGAGTTGATTCAATCATTGAGGATTTATCAAACTCTAACTTGAGCAGTATTGATGCAGAAGGCATTGGTGAAAGTAAAGAAAGGTTCAGGCAACGCCTCTGGTGCTTTCTCTTTGAGAATCTTAATCGGGCAGTAGATGAACTCTACCTACTCTGTGAACTGGAATGTGACCTGGAGCAAACACAAGAGTCTATTCTTGTTCTTGAAGAAGCTGCATCTGATTTTAAAGAACTGAGTTCAAGAGTGGCGGAATTTGAGAGACTGAAAAAATCCAGTTCTCATGCGACTGATGGAACACCTCTGACCATGAAGTCTAACCATCGCAGACCACATGCTCTCTCATGGGAGGTGAGTATTCTAGCTCTCATTTTTCAATGTTTTAAATTGGTAATTGTAAAAAATTAAACAACACATAAACAAATCAATCTCAGCCATTTGGAAGTTGAAAAACTGCAGTTTTGAATGCATGCATACCAAGAATATCTGTTGGCCAGTCATTATTATATTCCATCTATGCTAAAGAAATCATTCTGCATGTCTTTTACCTGGTTTTTTGGTACTGGTAGCGCCCACAGTTTGGGCCAGGGAAGTCCTTCAGCTCGTTAAACGGAGGGATATATTCTGTCTTTTCAAATACGCTTTCCCCAGCAGGCAACAACACAACACTGGGATTCTTGAATTTTCTTTTCATTTATTTTTACCTATTCGATAGTAATTGGATAAAAAATCATGACAACATCGCCCTCTTTGGAACCTTATTTGTGTGTGTGTGTGGGGGGGGGGGGGGAGAGTTATTTTGTTCACTGAAGGCGGATCTAGAATTCGTAAGCTGCAGGTGCCACTGTCTTTAACGTAACCTACCACTAGCAATGGAGATCGAATTGGGGTGTACATTCGGTCAGTTTTATCCGTTTTAGGTTAATTCGGTTCGATTTACAAGGTTTTTGTTTCTTTAAAAAAATCACGCAATTTTGTCCAGTTCGATTTAATTCTCTATTCAAATTCTATTGACAAAAAAAGGTTTTTTTTAATGACCAAGAAATTCGTCTGAGGCCAACCAATTAGGAACAACCGCAACCTTCAAAACTCAAGGATAATGGGCCCGCCTCCCTAATATTCTCCACTTAAATGCTAGTCTTAGTTCGTATGGTGCTGGGCTCGAATCTGTGACCCAAGTCGCAAGTCCCTCAACCTCTGCCACTTGAACTAAGCCCTATGGGGAGTTATGGATATTTTTTTGGAGGTCACTTTTTTCGTAAATGGTAGGCTTAGTTCTTATGGTGCTGGGCTCGAATCTGTGACCCAAGTCGCAAGTCCCTCAACCTCTGCCAGTTGAACTAAGCCCTAGGGGGAGTTATGGATACTTTTTCTAGAGTTCACTTTTTTTGTTAGAAGCAGCCAAACTTTTTTTTGATAAGGTAAATTGTATTAATCAAAAGGGAGAGAACTCCCGTATATAGGAAGTATACTAAAAAGTAGAGTATTTACATCAGAACATGATTCTCTATAAAAGACGCCCGATCTTCTATACAAGTAGGGGCTATATGAGTGCATCAAAAAGCGATCAAAGATAAAAGACTATTCTTAAAATGTGAAAAAGTAGAATTAATCCCCTCAAAAGCTCTCCTATTTCTCTCCCCCCAAACTATCTACATGAGAGCTAACGGGGCGAACTTCCATGCCTTTTGCTTTCTTCTTCTACGGAAACCTGCCCAACTATATAACATTTCCTTTACGGTGCTTGGCATCACCCATTGAATACCATAAAGGTTCAGGATCGCCCTCCACAAAGCCGAGGACACAGGGCAATGCAGCAAAAGATGATCAACTTCTTCCCCTGAGTTTTTACACATATAGCACCAACTAACAGGTGTAGTTCCTCTCTTTCGCAGATTCTCAGCAGTCAAAATTACTTCCCTTGTCGCTAGCCATGCAAAAAAGCACACCTTCGTGGGCGCCTTAGGAATCCAGATTGAGGAGTATGGAAAAGAGGCCTCCTCTCTCACCAACATACTCTGGTAAAAGGACTTTACGGTGAACAAACCATCGCCATGCAAATCCCATCTCCAAGAATCACAAGATGGCTGGGGCCTGTCTTGCCCATATAGCAGTGTCAATAAATCTTGGAGCTCCGCAATCTCCCAATCTTGCATATTCCTTCTAAATGAGAGGTCCCATACTACCCCCTTCATGCTCCTTACGAATCTGTTGGACCATCAATTCCTTCTGGTTTGAAACTCTGAAGGCGTGGGATAAGGAGACCCTCAGAGTTTCCTCTCCACACCACCTATGATTCCAAAAGCTGATTCTCCTTCCATCTCCCACCCTGTAAGTGATGTTACCACTGAAGGATTCATGATACTCCTCCACATGCCACACCCGAAAGGTGTTGTGATTGCCTTGGTCCTCCAACCCCCTCCCGTGGAATCGTACTTTTCTACTATGACCTCCCTCCATAGAGCATGCTCTTCTAACCCGAATCTCCACAGCCATTTCCCCAACAAAGCTCTGTTGAATACCCTAAGATCTTTTACTCCAAGTCCACCCCACTTTTTTGGGGAAGTGACTGTCTGCCAATTCACTAGATGATACTTTCTAGTTCTATCTGCCGCATCCCAAAAAAAAACTCCTTTGAAGCTGTTCTAGTTTTTTTGTGATGCTCACAGGAACTTGCAATAGGGACAGGTAATAGGTGGGCATACTCGATAAAGTACTTTTGATAAACACTTCCTTTCCGCCTTTTGACAAGTACCGTTTCTGCCAGCCTGCTAATCTTTTTTCAACCCTTTTGATCACTGGATTCCAAACCATAGTATCCTTATGCAAAGCGCCCAATGGGAGACCCAAGTAAGTAGTGGGAGGGGAGCCTACCTTACATCTAAGAACATAAGACAAAGCATCGATGTTAGCAATCTCGCCCACCGGGAAAATCTCACACTTGTCGAGGTTGATTTTGAGACCTGATACTATTTGAAACCACTGCAGGACTTGCTTCAGGTAGGTCAATTGATCCATATCGGCATCATAGAAAATCAGGGTGTCAACCGCAAAAAGCAAATGAGAGACTCTTCGGGCACTGGGCACCCCGGTCGGAGCTGAGAATCCTCTCAAGAAGCCTTTGGCCGCCGCACGATCCATCATTTTACTCAGAGCATCCATCACTAGAATGAATAACATGAGGGATAGGGGGTCTCTTTGCCTGAGACCCCTGGAGCTGCCAAAGAAACCATACGGGCTACCATTAACCAGGACAGAGAATCTGACTGAGGAAATGCAGAACTTGATCCATCCCCTCCATCTTGCCCGAAACCCCATCCGCATCATAATGAAATCCAGGAACTCCCAATTGACATGGTCGAAAGCCTTCTCAAGGTCCAACTTGCATAGTAAGCTGAGATCTCTATTTTTTCTTCTGGAGTCTACAAGTTCATTTGCCACCAAAGCGGCATCCAGGATCTGCCTACCTTCCACAAAAGCATTCTAGGAAGACGAAACAGACACGTCAAGAACCTTCTAGAGTCTGTTGGAAAGCACTTTAGAAATAATCTTGTAAATGCTTCCCACGAGACTAATTGGCATATAGTCTCTGATACAAGATGCACCTTCTTTCTTAGGCACAATAGTAATAAAAGTAGCATTGATACTTCTCTTGAAAACACCATTCACATAAAAGTATTCAATGGTTTCCATCAACTCCCCTTTGATGGTGTCCCAACAGAGTTGGAAGAAGGCCAGGGAGAAACCATCGGGGTCGGGGGCCTTATCACCAGCACAACTCGACACAGCCTCGTGCACCTCCTCCTCCTCGAAAGCCCTTTCTAGCCACTCATTGTCTCCCTCCCCTATGTGGTTGAACTCTATTCCTTTCTTTAACTATAACGCCCTCGATTTTTGCCGCCAACTAGTCTCCTGAGCTATTGCTAACTCGATTATTTCCCTCTTAACCTCCCCCAATCTCTCTTTCTCAGATTCATCTAACTCCCTCGCCCCTTCCCCTCCCTCTAGTTCCCTAAATTCATGCATAAGCTCCCTCATTTTAACCTCTATCCTCCCAAAAACCTCCTTATTCCACCTAATAATATCTCCCTTGAGCAATTTAAGTTTCTTCGAAAGACGGAATGAAGGTGTCCCTGTTACCCCGTAGCTTATCCACCATTCTTTAACCTTGTCACCAAATCTTGGCACCTTCAACCACATGTTCTCGAATCGGAAGGGAGCACGCACCCCTCTCCCTCTGCATCCATCTAGCAAGATAGGCAAATGATCCGAAGTCAGCCTAGGTAAAGGAATCTGCAACACATTCGGCACCAGCTCATCCTAGGAGGGCGATATCAGAAATCTATCAAGTCTAGACCTTGAGTTGGAATCCTCCGCCTTGGCCCAAGTAAACCTTTCCCCTGACGGAGGAAGATCAATGAGAAAGTGATCATTGATGAAGTCAGAAAACTCCTCCATGGCCCTCGAAATCAGACTACACCATAATCTCTCCTCTGGGAATCTAATAGTGTTAAAGTCTCCCCCTAGAACCCATGAAATGTCCCATTCCCCCATCATATTGGCCAGTTCCTCCCAGAAGAATACCTTGGACCCTTCTCCTACCGGTCCGTATACTCTCCCAAATCCCCACTCGACCCACTCACTCTATCTTTGATAAGAGCTGCTAAAGATAAAACTCCCTTCTTAATTTCCTTTACCTCCAAGCTTCTATCATCCCACATTAGAAGAATGCCCCCGGCACTTCCTGCTGCTGGAACCCAGTCATATTTTACCCAACTACCACCCCAGACACTCCTCACAATCACATCCGACAAAACTTCCATGTTTGTCTCCTGAAAGCAAACTAGGTTAGCACCCCACTCTCTAACTCCCACTTTGATGATGACCCTTTTGTTTGGGTCATTCATCCCCCTCACATTCCGTGAAAGAATCTTAAGTTCCATAAGAAACAATATCCCCCTTCTCCCCACCCCCCTCTAATCGAGCTCCCTTCCTCCCCGTCACACACCCATCCCCTTCTCTGGTACACCACTACATCCCCTAAATTATTTTGCTTAACACCTTGACCTAACTCCCTCCCTGCACCATCATTAAAAGATTGTTGCTCAATCTCCCTCAACAGTTCTAACACCCTATCTTCCTTCCCTTCAAAAGAAA